TTATTTTATTATAGGTACTTATTTAGCACAGTCAATTTATGCAGTGCTTTACATATATATATATATAGTACATTCACATCAGTCCCTAACCCTCAAGGGGCATACAATCTATGTACCTTAACTCACATTCATATATACACATACTAGGGCCAATTTAGAGAGGATCCAATTAACCTACCAGCATATCTTTGGAGTGTAGGAGGAAACCGGAGTACACGGAGGAAATCCATGCTGGCACAGGGAGAAAATGCAGACTTCAGACAGCTGATGCCATGGTGGTTGGGATTTGAACCAATGACCCTAGTACTGCCAGGCAGAAGGGCTAACCATTTAGCCACTGTGCTGCCCACCTAGCTTTCAATGGTACCGAAAAAAATTACTTTCTATGAAAACCAAATTCTGCTATAGCTTTGCTGGGACATTGCCCATTGAATCAGCACAGATCTGGATTTAAATTGTCATTTATGCTTTTCAACACATTACAATTTTCAAGCTTTCCTTTTGTTAGCAATAGGACTATTGATTTATGTTTTGTATCAGTGTCTAGTAAATATGCAGCCCAAACCTTGTCAATCTTGCAGTGAACACGTCTGAGATTGATAAGTAATTCAGTTTTAGTTCATTTTTAAGTTTCATGGAAGTTCGAACTGTGACCAGAAATATCTGAATGTTCTATGTGGGACTACGGATTTTACGTGAATGTACATACAGAAAAGTGGGTAACTAGTGACATCTGCTGGTAACATTTTGTAAACTGCTTTTCAGTAAACTCTTCTGAAGATATTTTTATCATTAATAAATGCAATACCTAACGGTCTCAGAAGTTTTCAGAGAAATACAGAGACTTTTTAGGCATTTATGCTATATTTGTTAATGCTGAAAAACATTTATTAGTTTACCAATATCTGAGATGACTAGTACGGATTAGAAATATTGGTGGAAATGAAAAAGATTAAAGCAGAACTTCATTTTTTCAATCAACATTGACTATTTGTAATCCTTATGCTGGCTGCTACATCAGTAAATAGAAATTATATCATATTTTACTTGTTTTAATCTTTTTCTCTTTACATTTCTTCAGTTACTTCCTGGTTTCCAGGCCTAGGCAAATGATGTCATACATCCCAGGAATCTTCAAAAGGGAGGAGGGGTTTTCTCAGATAAGCACACCCTCCTGCCTGTATGTCTGAGCTAAGGGCAAATGGATTCCAGGAAGTAAATGCTACATGAATTATCAGCCCTTACTTAAGATGGCCATAGTCAGAAATGCTAGGTGGTGTTTTTCTAAGTGATTTCTCAGCCAAATAAAGCATGGGGACATGGGATGAGTGAGATTGCTTTGAATGTTAAAAATAAATGAAGTAATGTATTTGGTTTGTGGTTTTCAAATGCAGTGTAGTTCTGTTTTAACCACTTGCCTACCAGGCACTTTTACCCTCTTCCTGTCCAGGCCAATTTTCAGCTTTCAGTTCTGTTGCACTTTGAATGGCAATTGCGCGGTCATGCACCACTGTACCCACATGAAATTTTTATAATTTTTTTCACACAAATAGAGCCTTCTTTAGGTGGTATTTAATTATTTAATCACCATTGGGGTTTTTATTTTTTGCACTATAAACAAAAAAAAAGCAAAAACTGTTTCTGTTATAAAATTTAGCAAACAGGTAATTTTTCTCCTTCACTGAGGTTCGTTGATGAGGCTGCATTGATAGGCAGCACTGATGACATGGCATTGATGAGGTGGCACTGGTGGGCATTGTTGAGGAGGTACTAATGATGCTGCATTGATATGCATCAATGATGGGTACTGATGGGCACTGATAGGCAGCACTAACTGACGGCACTGACTGGCAGCACTGATGGGCACCAATGGGTGGTACTGCTGGGATGCACTGGCGGGTGGCACTTCTGGGCACTGATGGGCACTTATGGGAGGCACTGATAATCAGTGCCCTGATTATCAGTGCAGATCTCCTCTGTCACATTTGCCGGTTATTGGCAGTACTTTGCTCCCGATAAGATAGAGTGAGGAAAGTGCTGCCAATAACCAACAACTTTATTGACTTTGTGATCTGCTGTGTCATTGGACACAGCTGATCACATGGTAAAAAGCTGCTGTGATTGGCCTATTACCTTGACATGTGATCATCTGTGTCCGTAGAACACAGCGATTACTGACAGCGCTGGTTGATTGCCGCTGATGGCATGCAGGGGGCGCATGGACCATAGACGCCCTCCCAGATCTGCAGTACGGCACTCTAGCCATCTTTCGGCTATAGCACAGTTGGCAATCGGTTAAAGCTGAGCTCCAGGAAACCATAATATTTTATCTTGCAGTGGGGCTGCACATGCATTGCAAGGTTTAACTGCTTGTTTAGTTATGAAAAAGTAGATTTATTTACCCAATCCCCTGCTGCTTTATGCAGCTGGATCAGTCCTCTCCCCCATGCTCGGCAGTCTTGGGTCCTGACATCATCAAGACTGTGCAGGGTCTATAGCCCTGCTTTGGGCATGAGGATGCCTAGTGCCAGTCCATGGCCAGAGCAGGGGAGAGCACTATCTGTTGGGGGAGCAGAGAAACAGGTAAATAAAAGTGTTTTTTGCAGCCCCTAGACTACATGACCAGGTAACCCTTGCAGTGCAAGTACAGCCCCACTGCCAGGGAGAGATTTCAGGTCTCCTGAAGTTGGGTTTTCGCTGAAAAAAATGTGGCCTGTGTATAGGAAGACTAGTTGCCTGGCTGTCATGCTGATCCTGTGTCTACAATGCTTTCTGAACCACTGACTCAAGTATGTAAAGCAGGAATTCTAACCTTTTAAAGAACATTTAAGGAATTTTAACCCTGACAACCTATGTCAGGTGAAAATAATGTACCGGTACATACCTCAACCTTGTATCACAGTACAATAGCAACCTATCACTGACCCAGATATTATCATGTGAGGGGACATGTCAATCCTAATGAAAATAGTAACTTTCAGAAAGTCACTTTCTGCATGCCTGACTTGGAAGAGTTCCAGGGAAGAAGATAATCTGGATTTGTAGGTGCCTGTATACAACATGTCTACAATCAATGCAGCTATATTTTTTTACTTTAAATGACCACCCAGATTATTTTAAAGTAGGGCTGGAAAATAATTTTTCCCAAGAGAAACTGGGACTGTTGTGGTGGGCTGAACCAATAAGGCAAGTATTTGTATATTCCTTTCACTGTTATACACACCTTCGGCAACTAGGCAGAAGTTAGTGGGGTCATAGTCTCTGCCCCTTACCTTGGGGTGGAGAGCAGGACCTGGCAACACCTCCCTACATGCCCTCATCCACGTCATATTCTTGTTGCCCACCTACCATGGTCTGCCCCAGTAGCTTGAGGGGCTCTGCCACCCTTCCAAAGCCACTTAGAAAGTGTGATCACTGCCATCTTGGCAACTGGTGGACAAGCAAGAGTGAAAGCACAGCTGTTGCCATCTTCTTGAGTGGCCAGCCTGGATTCAGGCAACCTACACTCCTCCCCCAGAGCCATTTGGCAGTGTCACATGCCCTGGGGTGGTGGAAGTTCTAATCTCTTGTAGACACTTGTTCTCCTGCACATTACTGTGAAGGTGCATAGGCATGTACGCAGATATGTAAATTTGAAAAATAAAACCATAGCAGCCACATTCAAAATAAAAGCAATGAAGTTGCATTGCATACATGGCGTAGACTTGTTTACCTTTGATTTCTAAATTCTGATTGACCTCACACAGGGCCAGACAGGGACAGCCAAAAGGCCAGATGTGGCCCAGGGGCCATACAATTCCCAGGTCTGATTTAAAATATTTCTCCTTTTCCAGAAATACGTGCATAGTTTAGCAGATATTTATTCAGTACGGCACTATCACATTTGTTCTATTTATTTATTTATTTATATGTAACTATTATAAGGAACAACATTCCTTTCACTTGAATCAAATCTATGTTTCAAGCTAGGCTTGTGTACTTCATACCCAGATAATTGTAAGGTCCCCATTGTAAGGAAACAGTGGCTGTGGAAACAACCATGTGAAAAAAACCATAATAGGCTTGACATAAATATATTAGCACTAATTAAGGATTGTTACATTAATTAAGCAGTGTGTTACTTTCCTTAAAAAAATATATAAAGTAAAAAATTGAGCAAAAACTATTTACAGTAGTCAGCAGTGATGCCTTGGTATGTTTTTCTTAATTGTATTAGTGGAGGCGAACAAACACATATCCAAAAATATTATAAGTCATCATAAAACAATATAATGTTATTTTTGTGTAGAAACCAATCCGTCTGTGTTCTTTCTTTTTTATGTAATAAGAGTGAATAATATACTGTATAGTCTTGATTAGAATGCCTGTTTTTATAAAGATAGGAATTGTTAGACTTTTTCCAAAAGAAGGAAAAAACCCTTTTTGGAAATTGTCGTCAGAACAGGTTTCCATTCAATTTCTGTTTCAATGACAATTGTAAAATTTTGGGTTTACCTTCACTTTCTGTGTAAATGGCTAACAAGACAATAATAGTGGGTGAATCTTCCCCACCTACCCTATCCAAAATATTAAAAAATGGCTATGACTGCTTAAGGATGTCATAATGTCATAATGTCAAGCATACACACATATACTGTATATATACACAGATATATATATATATATATATATATATATATTAGATTACAGCTATAACAAAGCATTAAATGAGTGAAGCATGTATTATAGTTTTGTTATAGTGTGCAAATATTATTTAATACATTTTAAAATCTACAACTGGAATGGCACAGCTTAATTATTAAAAGATTGGATTTTTCATTTTCCAGACATATTGTGATCACACTTGCATTTTTTTTCATGTGGATCTTAATTACTTGTAGCTAAGGATTGATTGACTGCCTGTTAATAAACATTAGCTTGTACATTGCCACTTGCTGATGAGTGGTTTGTATGTGCTGCTCTCCACAGACAGAAGACGTCCTGAAGATTGATGGAGGGCCATGCTATTCAAACAGCAGGCGTTGCTGAGACAGAAGCTCTTTGTGCTAGGCAGCCTTGCTGTTGGAAGTCTCCTTTATCTAGTTGCCAGAGTTGGGAGTTTGGATAGGTGAGTACCATTTACCCAGATTCTTATTTACAATGATGAACATCATAGCATTTATGTTATTTGTATAAAACAGGTATGTCCATTCATAATGATATTAACAGCTCCTATAACTGTATTACTATTTTACAGGGAAAAATAAAATGCTACATTAGAAACATGTCATATGGAAAAATCTTAGAATTTCTATATTATGATTCTTTTTCTACAGTTGCATCAATCTGTATTGTAAAATATCAACTCTTTTCCTGATTAAGAATCAATATAAACTAATTATATATATTATAAAAATTATATATGTGGGAAAAGTTTCTGTGTTACTACTTTAATTTGTTAAACTGGCCAAGATTTATTACTTTGTCTACGTATAGTCAGGCTGTTGTGTCTTCACTTTCTAGAATTGGTATTTGACTATCCATATTTTAAATAATGATTTATCATACTATTCCCACTCCTGTGTATGAACAATTCATGCTCAGTGTTCCAATCCAAGAACTGTATTGCCTAGTTGATAAGATTCTCCATTTGTGGATTTTATTATGCTGTACCAAAATGGTACATCAGACTGTTATTAAGCAGTTGCTGTCAAGAGTGCTAATCATTAAACCCAGGTTAAGACTACCAAAATTGGAGAAAAGAAAACAGTAACATGCTTTCTTTGCCCATAATGTCCAGTCAGGTGTAATATTCTGTTCTCTGAGAAAATCATATAGGAATTGTAATTTTGCATCATGGGCAACACCACTTGTATTTCACTTTTTTTTTTATTCCACTTTTTTAAATAGGCTGTATACAGTATGCTTTTATTTTTTAAATCAAAGACTGCACAGAACCAAAGTGAGCTATTTTTGTACTACCATACTTTAGCATTAATATTTGAACACCAAAAACATGCTGAGACACATTGTGTAGGTGTTTGATTCTTTTACGTTATAAATTTTGAGAGCTGGTTCATAACAAATGTGGTAAAGGCCAACTGAAGTCTCACACATTTTTTATTCTCTTTATAGTCATGGAAGCTGGCATGTTATGATTTCTGACTGATGATTGCTATAAAATGCCTGATGTTTGCTAGAACATGATCTTTACACGATGCTGCATGTCGCATAGAGCAACATATATATCCAATAAGACATTGCCGAAAAATGTAAACCATACCACAACAAACTTTAAAGTGGAACTCTACTCCCTCCATCAGCATTAAAGGATAAGTTCACCTTTTAACAAAAAATAATAAGTGCACTTTTTTTTGCAGGTAAAATATGTGCATTTACTATTTTTGTTTTGGGAGCCTGTAAAGCATTGCACCAGTGATCAGAAAATTGCTGGTGTCATGCAGGACTCCTGCAGACCTGTAAATGTATATGTGTGCTTGAACATCGCACAGGCAACCAGATACACACTGACAGGAAGAATCAATGGACTACCACTGCGCTCCACAGCGTTGTGGCAGTTCATGAGAACTATAAGCCGAGGGTTTGAGGGGAGGAGGGTTTTTCTGAGCTAAGTTCATCCTGCTGCCTGTATACCTGAGCTAAAGGTAGATGGATTCCAGAAAGTAAATACTACATGAATCATCTGCTCTGATTCTGGCAGCAGCTAGAAATGCTAGGTTTTTTAAAGTGATCTATCTGCAAAATAAAGCATGGAGACATGCATGGATGGGTGAGTTTGCTTTGAATATTAAAAAATGAATTAAACAGCATTTTCAACTTTCAAAAAATAATTGTGTATAAAACCATCGCAGCTTTGCCAATTCATACATCTCACACATCTTCTATACCAAATGTCCCCACTGCTCACCACTGATATTAAATATACACAATTTTTAAAGTAGTTGTAAAGGCTAAAGGTTTTTTATCTTCATGTATTCTATGCGGGTAGAAAATCCTTTCGTGTTCAGCTTCCCCCTCGGCCCGACAAAATACTTACCTGAGCCCCATTGTGATCCAGTGATGTTCTTGAGAGCCTCAGCTATCTGGGGACTCTCTCTCCTCATTGGCTGAGACAGCAGCAGGAGCCATTGGTTCCCGCTGCTGTCAATCACAGCCAGTAAGCCAATGGGGAGAGAGAGGGGACAGGGCCGAGCCGTGGCTCTGTGTGTGAGCAAGCCTGCTTGGGTACCCCCATTGCAAGCAGATTGCTCTTGGGGCACTTGGGAGGAGGAAGCAGCCAGGAGCTCTAGTGGATACTAGTATTCTTTCATGCAACTATCTGCAGAAGAACAGAGAATTACAGCACTGCCAGTGTAATGCAATTTGCAATGTAGAGAAATGATGCTTGCCAAGACATCATTTCAACATGCATCATTTTTTTGCCACTGTGAAATGTAATTAGTCCTGCTCATCTTTCTTTCATTACAGGCTACCACCCATTTGCCCAATTGAAGGTCGATTCAGTCCACAAAATCAGGATGTGGCCACTCTCCGTGCTATGCAGTATAAGAGAGGACTCTTACATGAATTTCGTAAAGGCAATGCAACTAAAGAACAAATCCTCCTTCACAATTTGGTCCAGCAGCTACCAAAGGCAATTATCATCGGAGTGAGAAAAGGAGGAACTAGAGCCTTACTTGAAATGCTTAATCTCCATCCTGCAGTTGTCAAGGCCTCTCAAGAAATACATTTTTTTGATAATGATGAGAACTACGCAAAGGGTATTGAATGGTACAGAAAAAAGATGCCCTTCTCTCACCCACACCAAATTACTATTGAAAAAAGCCCTGCATACTTCATCACAGATGAGGTTCCAGAAAGGATTTATAAGATGAACTCTTCTATTAAGTTACTAATCATTGTTAGGGAACCAACGACAAGAGCCATTTCTGACTACACACAGGTGTTGGAGGGAAAAGAGAGGAAGAACAAGACTTATTATAAGTTTGAAAAAATGGCCATGGATTCCAACACCTGTGAGGTGAACACTAAATACAAAGCAGTGAGGACCAGTATCTACACAAAGCATTTAGAAAGGTGGCTGAAGTATTTTCCCATTGAACAGTTTCACATTGTTGACGGGGATCGACTGATTACAGAACCGCTGCCAGAACTACAGCTGGTGGAAAAATTTCTGAACCTGCCACCTAGGATAAGTCAATACAACCTGTATTTTAATGCTACCAGGGGGTTCTACTGCTTGCGTTTTAACATTGTCTTTAATAAGTGCCTGGCAGGTAGCAAGGGACGCATACATCCTGAGGTTGACCCCTCAGTTATTACCAAATTGCACAAATTCTTTCATCCTTTCAATCAGAAGTTTTTCCAAATCACTGGCAGGACATTTAACTGGCCCTAATTACTACTGTCCACAACACTATGTGTTGCACAATGCTTTCAGTAAAGTCTATAATAGGACAATTATGCACTTTTCATTGACACGTTTATTAGAATATATGTTGTTTATTTCTTGAATAAATGTAATTTATGTATGTGACCAAATATTTAAAAGGGATCAGTTTCTACTGTGAAGTAATAAAATAAGTACTTTTCCCAAAGTTTTAGCTAAAATCCTTATAACTATTATAAGGGGAGATGTTTCAATATAAAGCTTATTAAAGCAGAACTGTCAGGTTGAATTTAAAAGGATATATTGTTGAAAACAATAAAGGTGTTCTACAACATAAAAACAATGTATTCCCAAACCCAGCACTGTCCTCTGTTGGCAACACACTTAATCGCTACTAGCAAATACAACATACTGTGTTAGTTCATTACTAACACACAGATGCATCAGTTGACTTACATACTGTATTTTTTTTATTTTCATAGCTGCTTTGCATAAGGGAGTTGCTGGCTCTAAATTTATGGCAGAGAGGTAGATTTCATCAAGCGACATATTTCTGAATGTCTAGTACTGTGATATCAGAGAAAAAAGACCAGTGGATATCCAGAAACAGGTTCCTTTCTTTCTGAAAATGATCACAAAACCTAGGCTATGTTTATAGATTTTAAACAGTGGTCTTTGAATCATTGGTGCTCTATAGTCATCTGTGCTGTTCAGCTGAGGTAGTGATGTCATTGGTAGCACATAGTAGCAAGGAGGTGAAACACAGCTTTGTTTGCGCAGTTGCCCCCAGTCTCTAGGACTAGATACAACAGTAGGGAGGATCCCTTTTTGTACAGCATGTTTGCATTCACATGAGCTTCAAAAGGGACCCTTGGAACATATTTTCACAACTTTCAAGCAACCAACCCCCAGTCCTTACTCCAAAGGGATGTACTCTGTGTGCACTTCCACATCCATTGGTCTTTCCTCTTCATGCCAAACCTAGGCTATGTTTATAGAATTCAAACAGTAGTCTTTGAATCACCAGTGCTCTATAGTCATCTGTGCTATTCAGCTGAGGGCAGTGATGGTGGCACATGGCAGCAAGGCGTAGGAACACAACTTTGTGCAGTTGCCCCCAGTCCCTAAGACCAAATACAATAGTAGGGAGGATCCATTTTTGTATAGCATATTTACATTCACATGAGCCTCAAAAGGATCCCTTGCTACATCTTTTTAAAACTTTCAAGTAACTCTTCCCCAGCCCATACTCTAATAGTGTGTACTCCGTATGCACTTCCACATCCATTGGGCTTTCCTCTCATGCCAAACTTTTGCTATGTTTATAGATTTCAAACAGTGTTCTTTGAATTGCTGATGCTTTCTAGTCATCTTTCCTATTCAGCTGATGGCAGCGTGATGTCATTGGTGGCTCATGGTAGCATGGAGGTGGGACACAAGTTTGTTTGTGCAGTTGCCACCAGGCCCCTAGGACGTTTGCATTCAGATGAGCTAAAAAAGGGACCCTTAGAACATCTTTTCATAACTTTCAAGCAACCTACCCCCAGCCCTTACTCTAAAAGGCCATACTCCATGTGCACTTCCACATGCATTGGCCTATTCTCTTACACCACACTGACCAGAATGTTGCATGTAATGTTCAGGCTGCATTTAATTCATTTCAATTGTTTCTACATAAACAACACTAGCCAAGTGAAAATTATAAAATGGATACTCTGCTGCATACAGCGTCATGTGAATGTAAGCTAAGTAGCAGTAGGCTCTGGTCACTAATCAAAGGATGAAGAACAGTTGGTAACAAAGTGGTTGTATGTAAGCATGTGAGTTGGAGATGGAACATAGTGGCCTGAAGTTGCATGGAATAGGAGAAAATAATGTAGGTGTGCAGAGAATAAAAGAAGTCAGCTAAACCAAGAAAGAGAAGGCAGCAGTACAGAAAGCTGTACAGGCAGCATGAGACCAGTGAGAGGAGTGAAAAAAGGGACCAAAACAGAAAGCTACATCTGGATTTAGGTCCTAATTTTTACAGAGTAAAAGTGAATACAGAGATATATGGTCCAATGCATCTGTTATTTTATTTAAAGTGGATCATGCACCAGAGCAATTGAAATCAACTGCTTTATGCAAAATAGCTACTCATAACCCAAATCAAAAATATGCATATATTTGCTAAATTTTTTGGTCTGTGTATTAGTATATCTTACAAAACATATTACAGTCTGTTTTATGTTACAAGCCATTTTCGACTAAAGACTGGTAACAAACACTATTAGTGACCTTCAATCATAGCTTCAAAAGCTGGACTGCTGTATGTATTAATGTCACCTCAGAACTGCAACTTCACTTTAAATTAAATATTCTGGATATTTTCACATAAATATTTGTTGCTTTGTAAAACGTGTCTAAACCCAAAAACAAAAAATCTGTTGCATCTTACCAGTCCTTAGATGTAGAGGCTGCATTCATTTTAATTTTGGAACAGTTTCAGCAAGCACAAAAATACCTGTTGATCTGCAGAGAATTGCTGTATCCTAATCACTTCCTATGCGTTTAACTGAAAGCACAAACATTTCTTTCTTGTGTAAACTACTAGTCCCCATTGATCCACAATGGAATGAGTATGAGCAAGGGCAGATATGTGTGAAGTACAGCCTGTGTGCAAAACCATGGCTGTCCTCATCAATTACTTGGAAAAAAAAAGCAAAGACATGAACAGACAGGAAGTGTGTTATCCAGAGGATTACCAGATGAAAATGAATCCCTCAAAAAAAAAGCTTGAAGAACGAAAACTAATGTAGTCACTATATCTATGGTTGGGTAAGCTAATATAACTTACAGTTTTATTTTGAGATTTAGACAAACATAACAAATATATTGGAGCTGCTATTGCTGACATATTTTTAAAGTGCAAGTTCCAAAGTTGACATGTCCTACCCTATCCCACCTCTTGAATCTGATCTGAAAGATGTATTACAGAATAGAAGTTCAGACATTTCAGACTTCAGTGGCTGCTTGCTTGTTGCAGGTTCCTAACTCACTAGGTAGAGCATCAGGATCAGGATAAATGTTTTCAGAGTCAGCGGGTGCAGTTGCCATATTTCTATAGGATTGCAAGCAGCTACAGTATATACTATAATGTCATGCATATATACCTGTATAAAAAAAAAGACAACAGCAATTTTGGAGAAAACATTGGCCGTGGCCTTTATTACTGGTTTACCCATATTTTAATATATACATACCCGTATATCATCTCATAAAATTATAAAATAAATCAATTTAAACCAGACATCCCTATCCAGATCAGCTCAGCTATGACAGCTGGAGCTGCCTTTTTTAACAACTATAACTACCTTACTATTAATGTCCCCCATTCAGAAAAGGTGACCTACCACATATCTAAAGGCCAAGACAAGGGAAGCAGGGAAGGAGGCTTAACTGCGGTCCACCTCCAGTGGCGACTGGCAATTAACTGTCACAAGCACCCCTTTATATAGTCCCCAAATGGGTTCTAGAATATTCTACAGACACCTGACAGATCTCAAGATTCCTCTTTTTTGACAGTTACAAGACCCCACCGCAAACCCCAATGGTGCGGTGAGACTTAAAACTGCCGCTACTGCAATCCCATGTGGAAAAGGGGGCCTTACAACCTGTTTTCCCCCTTTTCCTTATTACTTTCCTGGGGACACTTTATTAAACTATTGTGTATTTTCTGTAAATATACTCTTTGAGTTATGACTGTATTGTTTAACTGAAAGGTTTTGGACACAACCCACATTGTTTCAATTTGTTTGCTGTTCTATTGTTTGAATAATTTATTTACCTACGGTAACTTTTTCTGCTCCATCTTTTGGTCATCTTTATATCAGGGAATGTTTTTAGCATCCTGCCTAATGTTTACTGAAGAGCAGATGCCATCAAATGTCTGTTATTTAAACTTTTATTAGCCATAAAAGCTTCCTATGGTGCCCCTCTCTGATTTCACTTCACTTTGTTACTGAGGCTTGGTTTTCTCTGGCTTCATGGCAAGGTCAGCCACCCCCCTAACTGCCTAGAGCCCAATAAGGGCACTTTCACTGCACAGTATAAAAGCAGTTGGTATGGCTAGGCCATGAAGTTATGGAATGTCAGATTATGCAAAGAGTAGTAATTATGCAACAAGCAGTAAACGACAGCTGCTCTCATTCTCTTTGTTGTATGCTGTTACCATACAATTGATTGGCTGCTATGGATTTCTGTATTCTAAACACAGTCATCTATTAACCACTTAAGTCCCCAGTGCTAGACGTTACCTGTGATAGCACCATTTCTAAATGGTACCTGGTCTCATCGGGTTCTAGAGGCAATCAATAATAGAAACACAATATGTTGGTCACAGCCATGATCCAGCATTAGGCCTTGAGACCCTGCTACAGAGGCTCAGTAAGAGTGCTCCATAGCAGCACAGCACAATGCCTTCACATCATCTTTGAAGATGAAGTGTTGTGATGTGACCAGTGATGTTACTGCACTTCAGTCCAGCAACCATCTATACTTAGGGTAGAGCTGGATTCAGCTTTGCCATGCCTCACCTTGCAGAAACATATGAATGGAATGTTTGTCTATTGCTGGTTGAGCATTTCGTCAACATTTCATGGGGGCTGGACCAGGTGTAAGGAAGAAAAAAAAAGTGTTGAAAATAAATTTTAAAAGATAATAAATAAAATAAATAAATACAAAAAGAAAAATAAATATTCTCCCCTTTAATCTCAAGAATGACATTGAAGGCTCTGAAATAGGTTTGTGTTTACCACTTGAGCATAAAATGCTCACGTGAGCATCAATTGGAATTTTGCAAAATTGTGAAAATGTTGCTGTTTATTTGCATCTACACAAACTTGACTTGTTTCTATTTAATGTTAGATGAAGTTGAACTCCAGGTAAACAGCCAAATACACAATAAAAACAAATATATGGAAGCTGTTTTATCTGCTGAATGATCTTTTTTCTGTATATTCATTTCCAAT